GCAAAAAGGAGTTGGGAGCAGTTGCCGGTAAGCGTGAAAAACCGCGCACGCCCGAAAAGGGCGCGAAGGAACAGAAACCCCGCCTCCTGCGCTCGCTAGCTGGGCTCCGCTCTAGGAAGGAGGCTCTGGCAAACCACTTCCGAAACACCTTGCCTTGAAAACTGCAAGGACTCGTCCAGGCAGTCACTACAGAGTCGGTAACGACTGAGCGCAGATTAAAAAAAAAAAAAAGACTTGTGTCTAAATTATCACTTATTTTGAATGAGAATTCAATTCAACAAACATTACAAAGGATTGCAAATTATTCCATATAGATCACAAACTATTAGTGTATACTGTATATGTAATCTTTTTGTGGATTGGAAGCTTACTGATTTATTCAAAGTATGTATAAAATATAATTAAATATCAGTGAATCAAGGCAGATCCCAAAGCAGCAATGGCCAAGAAATCAATAATTGTTCAAGCCAATAGCCAATAGTAAATTTCTTATTGCTCAAATTTGAGAATATGTAAAATTTATATGACATTAGAATTTTAAAATAAAGTCCTATTGGTTGGTAACATAGGCAAATTAATTTGCCTGATGTTACAAGATGTCAAGATAATTTAAATTGCCAAGAAAAATACTGTATTAGTGAATGTGTTAAATGTGAATTTCCAAATAAATGTATATTGAATGGTTGCTATAATAACATTTTAAAAAGAAATATATTTATTTGTAATATAAATTAAATTTATTTATCTTAAGATATAAATTTCTTAATTAGCTTCCTATTTACCTTTTTAAAAAATGAAATAAAATATTTAATTTTTTACATTAGTTTAAATTAGTACTAATAATAAGTTATGGCATATTTATATGTCACTATACAAAACAATTGCATTTTTATTAACCAAATTACAAAACAACTGTTAATTGTTCTGGACATCAACTATTCTAATTACCATCTTTGTAATAGTACAGTTCTAACTGCATTAAGGTTCAGATCTATTTGATATGCCGAGCACTATTTCTGAGATAAGTGTGCTGGATATTGTGACCTTAACCTGCAATCCTATTCATTTACTTAGAAATGTAACTGTTGTACTGTTTTTATTAATGTGAGTGGTTATCAATCATATCAATAGTGTCAGAGATTATTCAAATGCAGACTTCCCTAGCTTGCTTCAAACTGGCTGGAAATTCTGTGAATTCTGCTCTCAACATATCTAGTGGGCCCCAAAATCATGTTTGAATTAAGCTTAGATTTATTTTATACTAGGTTATTTTAAAAGAAACTTCTTAAACATTAGAAATCAAGTTTAATTTTAAAATCTGTTTTTCAGTTTTAAAAGGACTCTTATTGATTCACCCTTATTCACAGCTCTACTGTAAATTTTTAGGAATGTATTTGAAATAGTGGGAGTTACCATCTCCAGTATTCTTCTGGTCACTATAGCTTCCTAATTCCTTTCTGACTGGATGAAAAAAAAAATGTTCAAGATAACTTTTCTATTGAATGGGAAGGAAAAGGTTTATACTGTTCAATATAAATTATGTAATATAAAAATTTTATTGAATTTCCAAGTGAGCAGCATATTGCCAATGTGCTGCCTTCCCTGCCCTTGAATTTTCCTTAGCTTCTCTTGGGGAGTCATGAAAGTAAATCTACCATTTAAAGTGATATTCTGCTGAATATATGCTAAAATAGGAGACTCATAATATTCAACATTCTCAGACTTGAGACTTGGGAGTAAAAATGTTTGACTATTAGTTTATCTTTAATAATCTGAACTTTGAGCATTGAAGCAATTTGGCCAAATTTTGAGATGTGAGTAAAGTGTAATAGGATTAATGATTACATTTTCTTTTGATGGGAAACCATTGGGCATTCTTCTCCCTTCATACCTTTAGAAAAGATGGAGCTTTCAGACCTGCCTTAACAAAGTAATTCTCTTTTCAGTGGGAATGAGTTCGAAATTATAATTATAGATGATGGAAGCCCAGATGGGACGCAGGAAGTTGCTGAACAGCTAATAAAGATTTATGGATCAGACAAAATTGTAAGTTACATATGTTTTTCCTCTCTCTTAGCTAATGTCAAAATATTTCAAATTGTTAGCATAGAGAAATGGAATTTCACTTGGAAACTATTTAGCTAATTGAGAATAGCTTGTTATCCCGCACAGAGCAATTTATCAAGTAATTCAATACAGTAATGCTTGTATTCAAGGTAATGAGATTTCATGAACTAGTTTGTTCTTTAGTTTTTCATTTTTTAAAGTTTAAACTTAATTTTTCAAGTAGTCATCCTCAGACCCCACAAGGGTATATAACTTTTTGATGAGCAAGGACTTGGGATCTGAGGGGATAGTCCAAAATAGATGGAGCCTCATCACACTGTGGACAGACTAGGATTTTCAGGGATTCTGCATTTTCTGGCTATGATATACTGTACCTATTTTAAGACTAATAGTAAAGTTTCACCTATTTTCTAGCCACAAAATGGTGGGAAATAGTGCTGATCATGATTTTTAGCAACTTGATTAGAGGCTCCAGTGGTTGCAAAAAGAGGATTCAGGGCCAGAGGTTGTTCACCTCTGCTTTAGTAGCTGAGTGTCAAGAAGAAATCAAAGGGATCTGGCTTTCTCATCATTGCATACTGTGATACTTGTTGAAAAGATGGTGCATGCTTCAGTGCTAAAGACACTTGGCTGAAGCATTAGCAACTCTTTCCTGTATATACTTGATTTATTTTCACCCACTGAAAGTTTAAGCTTTCATACCTGCATTAAGCCCTTCTTGGTGCAGTGCAAGGTATGCCTGTTCAAAATATATTAGGGCTGCTTCTCTGGTAATTGGATATTCCGTTGCAGCACAATGATGTAAATGTTAAACGGGACTAAATATTGTATATTGTGTTCCTGTTTATTTATTTGACTTTATTTCCAGTCAAAGACCAAAGCAATTATATAGTACTTATGAACAAATATAAAATATTAAATACGAAATAAATAGCTATGGTAATTAATGAGAACGAGAGAGATTGCAATACCTGTGATCTCCAGTGAATTTAAAATAACAACACAGTACTGGCATTAGACCCAAGTCATCCTAACAACAGGTGCCACTGAGCAAAACTCAACAACGTATTTCAAAGGAACAGTCTGCTACCAGGTAATACACCTTTTTCTCATCTGGTCAGTCCAGTCATCCTGCTAGCTATGATAGTATTAGTGTGGAACATCAAAATTGATACACGGGATGATGTAACAGAAACATGTGGATAGGGAGAGATTTGGATAGAAATCTTGTTATATCTGCCTTCTAAAACTATTCTTGCAGGGCAGATAAAATATTAAATAATTGGATGGCAAAAATGGCCTTGTGCACAGACTGTCCATATAATATTGGGGGCTAGACTTCAGTCTTGCTGTAGATTTCAGTCAAACATACCCAGTTTTTTCTTCAGAGATGCTTTCTCATAACTTTGCTGAAACAGAAGGTAGGCTGAAAATGCTTTACTTCCAAAAGAAATGAAATTGTGAGAATTGTTCATAAGTATAAGAGTGTCTTTCGTATGGTTTACTTTGAGCCGGTATTGCAGCCAGCAAATTCTCACGCATGCCTTTGAGGAAGGGGACCAGCTTTCAGATGCAAAAGAGAATTAGAAATACAACAAGGTATGCAAATCATTGCTCTTATAAATTTAGTCTGGACTATTTTCTTATGCAGACAGATCTGCACAATAAAACATTAGCATTAATATCTTAATTTTACTGCTGCTGGGCAAAATTCTGTGCATGGATATTGGTATTTTTTGGGGTGGCAGGGGCTTCTTCCATGTTAGGGAACTTTAAAGAATAAGATCAGTGGTGATATGATATACCTTGCAATCATGCATGGAATTGCTACATCTCTTGATAAAAAGTTATTCTGATATAACTTTTCATTGCTACATTCTGTTGCTAATGCTGGCAGATTCTACCATAGGGCCCACATGAGATAACGATAGAATAATTGCTATGTCAGCATATAAAAGGATAGATATAGGCTTATTTGCCAGCAGAAGATGGAACTCATTTTTTGTTAAAGCCTGTGTAATAGAATTATTATAAATAGTAACGAGGGACAAGTATACATCCCTACTTGACTGCTTTTTGGACAGGCATTTCAAGCCATTTGAAGAGCTGTACCTGACCCACATACAGATATTTTCCTGTAGCATAATAATTAATTGTAATAGTATGCATTCTCCTGTAGAAGATGCTAACTTGACTAATAGTTTCTTCTTGGTATAGAATGAAATGCTGCCTTTAAATCAGTGCAAGTGATAGAAAAATCACCTGAAGGACAATTAGAGTATTTCTCTGCCAAGTGTTACAGAATTATACCTTGGTCAAGTGTTACCCTTCCAGTTGTAAATCTAGCCTGTTCCTCAGTAAGCGTATTCTCTTCTGGCTTCCAGTCCATGAATTTCCCATGGAGATGCTTGGTATAAAGCTTACAGACAACATTTAAGAGACTAATTGGTGATAATTGTCTTCACGCCTTTCTTGAAGATTGGAATAGCTATAGAAACACCACTTTGGCATTGCAAATGAGTGATCTACGTGAGTGTACTGGGTTGCTACTACAGAAGCCCACCAATCAGTTTAATTTTATAAGTTCAGCTAGTTTCCTATTTTCCCCAACTCTTCCACCATCTTTACCAATTTTTAATTGCACTATGAGCTTAGAAGTTTGAAAAATAGATACAAGAGACCAGTCAGGTAAATATTCAGCACTTGGAACAAAGGATTTCAGATCACAGGAAGTTGTACTAAGTGGAAGTCAAGAGTGCTCAACTACAGTATATATCTGGTGTAATAAGTACCTTCCTTGACCCAGAAGCTTCTCGGGGTAGAGTGAGCCACAAGTTGCCTGAACTCAGAGCTTTTTATCCTTTGCTGCTTTGCGTCCCTTGTGTTTTCTTTTTCAAGAGGTGGTTCCCCCCAACCCCCAGTTCTAGTATTTCATTCCATGAGTGATAGTGTGTTATTTCAGAAGACCTGGTCAATCTCAACTAATTTAGTCTTTGCATTTACACATTCAACTCAGACTTAAATTGGGTTCTAGTATGCATATTTTATCATTTCCACACTATTAGTTCTTGTATAGTATCAGTAATTTGTTCAAGATGCCCAGTACTTCTGCCTTATTCTCCACAATTTTAATGGATCTCTTTAAATTAGACAGCTTTAGAAAGACTTTCTCTAACTTGCTAGACCATCTCATCTAGGGGATTTTGGCTATAGTGATATCATTTCTATGTTAAGATTCTGTTTTATATTCTACAAGACAGAATATAAATTAGTTTGGCAATAAGCAGAGAAACTGTCGGGATGAAAATCAATTGTGAAGTCAGTAAATGCTACATAATTTGTAGAAATTATCATGTAGTCAATAGTAGTGGCATCTCTGCTACTCCAGAAAGTTCATTCACGTTCCATGTCCCCAGCTGATTCATTTAAAATCAGAAGGTCCATTTCTGAGACAGTTGGGCTAACTCCATCTTCCAAAACTTGTAATGGTCATACCAAGTTTCATCATTGGAGCCTAATCTAGTGCTAACATCTATCAGGATTTCCTCAGATTGAGAATATCTTCACATCAAGCCCAGAAAATAGACATTAATTAATAATAAGTTTCTACATCCTATGTCACTGAATCAATTTATTTAAAACAGTCTACAGACCATAGCAAAGCAATTATTATTTTGAAATATCCAATATTATATAAATATTAATCATAACCCCCAATATCCCTTTATAAACTGAAATCAAATTGCTTTCTTATTCTAATAACAGTTAAAAACTGCCACTGCTAATGTCACTTTAGGAATTTGATCACAAAGAAGATATTTAACATGAAATTGATTAGAATGTCCAGGTAAGGATGTTAAAATAGGATTAATCCATTGTTATGCAAATTAAGGTAACAGCTACATATGCTCCATTGATTCTGTGTCATGGTTATTACAGGGACGTTCTCTTTTGGAATAACTAATTCCCTTACATCTTCCCCATAACAACTGGGAGGGGAAGACATGTATCCTAGCTCTACCAAGAGCCCATCTATATTTAAATACAAAGAGATTATTACTGTAAGGTTATGGTAAAAGTCTTTCTCATTCTAAATTCAGATTAATAGCTAAGACAGGGAATCACATAAAGTATGTGGGGAGATACCTAGGTTTAACTTAGTCCAAGGTGCAATTACCTCCTTGTCATTCACATTGTCCACCCATTTGACTTGGAGTAACTACAGTGCAGAACTTTAAGTATTAAGTGGTAAATGGAATCCTTGAGCAATATAAGAATGACTGCTCCAAAGGTGAAATGTGTTCCTTGAATTGAGTAGTTACTTATTGGAATACTATTCAGGACAGGTTTATCATCTTTTATTATTGTTGTTGGTTGCACAGTCAGCCAGATGTTTAGACTGGATTTGGCATTATTATTATTATTACTATTACTATTACTATAATTATTATTGCTACTACTGTTGTTATTCCAAATTTGTGAAGTTCTAACTTTTTCTACTGGAGTGTTATTGTGAACCATATATTTATACTGCTTTACATAAAATAATTTGTATGCAGAGTGGTACCCATGTGGCTTTCATTTTTGAAAGCAACCATGCTGCCAGCATATTGACCTAAATTCACATTTATTAATTAGAAAATGTGTTGTTATTACTGGTGTACCAAACATTTCAATTTAATCTTTTTAAAGTATGAAACTTCTCAGGGTCTGAGAAACTTCCTGCTAAACATAACGCTATTATTTTGAATGTCAAACAGGCTATTTTGAGGACTATGGAAGGATTTTGTTTTGTTTTTTGTCAAAGTAACAGTTTCCAGACTACAGTTTAACGACCACAATAGGGACTGGAAAATTGGTCATTAAGTGGAGCAGTCATAAAGCAAGTTGCCACATGACCGGACTCAATTTTATGACCATTTTTACTATGGTCATTAAGAGAATCATGTGGTTGTTAAGCGAATCCAGCTTCCCCAATGGACTTTTTTTGATGTAATTTGCTTAATGACCATGTGATTTGCTTAACGACCATCATAAAGGTTGCAAATCAAGATCACATGATTGCAGGGGGGTGCGACAGTTTGTGACAGTTGTAAGTGTGAGTACAGGTCGTCAGGCACTTTTTCCAAGGCTGTTGTAACTTCAAACTCGTTAAATGAACAGTTGTTAAGTGAGGACTACCTGTAAAATTCTCTGTTTTAAGCTTGAAATATGCACTAAAGACAACCTAAGTATATATTCTTTGGTATATAAAATCAGCAAGTAGTAGCATCATTTTGAAAAGAGGAACAGATCAGATAACATTAGAGATAATTTATTAGATTACCTGGCATTTCATGGCTCTAAGGAAGTGTGATTAGTATATCACATTTTTTCTTGTTGTTTTGTTCATAGATGCCACATAATTCCTGTAGAAACAAATGCTTAATCTTATGGTAATTATCTTCTTAGCTAATAATGAAATAATCTTACTCTAGATTTCTGGACTATTTTTATTTAAATTAATGCCTCTAGGTAGATTGGTCTGTGTATATGAGCAGAATCATCCCCAGTAAAAGACATCCATCAGCAATATGGGGAAGATATACAGACTGAAACCCATTTATGCAGTGTTGAATTTTACCTTATGGGTATTGCAATTCTTTTTGAGGGAAGAGCAAAATAGTAATAATGACATTTTACTGAAGTGCATGATTATTGGCCAGAGCTTAGTATGGTTCATCTCATTTTTTGGTCTACTGATACTTTACAGCTGTTGAGACCCAGAGCAAAGAAACTTGGATTGGGTAAGTAGTCAATAATTAGATGATTAACAGTTTTATATCAATTTATTAAGAGCATTAAGAACATTGGCCTTCAGCCAGGTATATTTTTATTTTAAAAAATCAAATTAAATCAAAATCTAATTTTGTTGCTAATTGCTTGCATTGTTTTTTGAGAACCAGAAAAAATGTACAATATATTTACACATTTTGCAACATACAAAATTCATTTTGCTGCTTCTCAGCATTAATGACTATGTACATCTTTGTATCATGTACAAAATTAACAGTCTGTCACATGAAAAGTAATAAATATTAATTATGCAGATATATAAACAGAAGAAAGGCATAGTTGGGTTGTTACATAGTGGGATAGTTCTTTATTTCTTTTTTTATTGGATTTATAGGCCATCCCAATCTTTATGAGCTGCGTGGCTTACAGGTTACAATAACAAAAAATAAAGAATGTATAATCCAAAAGAAAGTCTACACAACAAACAAAACATCCCGCAAGGGGTCAACCATTTATTCCAATTGGGCCAGGGTGGGGACCATATGAATTTCTGGTGGGATGGTGTTCTAGAGGGTAGGTACCCGTGATAGAAAAGGCCTACTTTCTGGGTCCCACCAAGTGAGACTGTTTAATCAGTGGGACCCAGCTCTGTCAGATTGTATGGGATGGGAAGAAACTAGCATATTCAAGCCCTGCCGGCTTTGCACTGACTGGGTTGGCAAGTGTGTGGGCATGGACATACTCTTTTCACTATACCAGACTTGTATTTGGTATATTCCTATTCTATATTGAAGGTATACTGGAGAAAGATGAAATAGTTCCAAGACTTTCACAATGCCTTTTCCCCATTCCTCTTTAAAGGCAGTGATGACAGAGAACAATTGCAATTGTACTTTTGTTGTTGCAACACTGCAGCCTCCTGTAGCAAGTCTCTTTTTATCTGAATATGGATCTTCTCTGCCTGAAGAGAGGGAGGTGTACGAAATTTTGTATCCCCAAATGACTTCTCAGACATAGTTTGACTGCCTCTTAACCTATAATTATATGAAGCAGGATTTTAAAAATGTAGTTAAACAATGAACTGAGATAGATAATATAGGCAGCAGAGAGTAGATATATCTGGCATTGTGTTTTTTAATTAGTATCAACTGGTTTAATAAGAAAATATTATTGAAACAAAATACCTCAAGGGGGCATCTGGTCATTGTCTCCATAATAGAGTTCATCCTATTTATTTTATATTATTAAAAACTGTCTAAAATGGATGGCTGAAGAACTTCTGTAATTCTTCATAGCATATAAGAAGGTGTAGCTTCTGTAATGAGATTATGGATGGGGTAAAACAGCCCAAATGCAGTCCTTCCAAGACTGAGTTGCTTGTTAGCAATAAACATTGGACTGATCTACTAACATTGATCCCAGTAGATTACTCTGAATGGAGTGACATGCCTCCAAAGGAATTGGTCTGCAATTTGGGGAAACTCCTGCACTTTTGCCTGCTGCTTATAGAGCAGGTGGAAGCTATGGCCTGAGGGCCTTTGCTCAGCTTTGGAGCCCTACCTTGACAGGATGTTCTGGAAATAGTCATTCACATCCTGATCATCATATCATTGGACTACTGCAGTGTGTTCCATGTGGGGCAGCATTTGAAGGATGATCTGGCACTTTGATCAATCCACAAAGCATTGGCCAGACACTAGTTTTGAGGTTGTTACACTGGTTTTCTATTAGCTTCCAGGCCCAATTCAAAGTGCTAGTAAAACGTATAAAGCCCTTTATGGTAATGCATCGTAAGGGGATATATCAGGCACTGCTTTGCTAAAGTCAACTCAGTCCGTCCAATCCAGTCAACTCAAGAAGGCCTTCTGTGAGTCCCTCCTCCTCCTGAAGTTCATGGGACTTGAATGAAGCAGCAGGCCTTCTCTGTAGTGGCCCCATTTTATCAAACAAGCCCAAATGGTACCTTATCATATTTTGGCAAATTATTAAAACTCTCCAATATAATCAAATACTCAGCTCCAAATACTTGGCAGTAGGCACTCATCATTGCATTTATATATTTATGTATTTGTATAATGTATTTTTATATGGTAATGGTTGTTTTTGCTAATTTTTTACTTGCCATACCCCAGCTAGACTTGGTTGATTGAGGCACTTAACAAATAAATAAGAAAGATGTACTTTTCACCATTATTAAAAGCAAAGAAGCCTTGTAAAATATTTGATCTGATAAATTCAAACTTGAAATGAAAGATACATAGAAATTAGATTATTTACATTTAAATCTCTGAAATATTCAATTATGTGCACGATTGTTAACGTAGACGGTAGTCATGGCTTTTGTATTGTTTATATCAGGAACTGCTTACATTCATGGAATGAAACATGCGACAGGAAACTTCATTATTATTATGGATGCTGATCTCTCACACCATGTAAGTTTGTGCTCTTTCTCCTTGTTAAGCATTTTCTTTATTCTACTTGCCTTGATTGTCCGCCCTACTGATATTTCAAAGGGCTTTAAAGACCTGGCTCTTTGCTCAGGCCTTTGGTGAGGATGACTGATGCCCCTTTCTTCATTTTTGTTCACCTCTGGGTTTATTTTCTTGTCACTGTTGTTCTTTTGTCTTGTGTAGTTTCTGTGTTTTTTGTCTTGTTCTTTGTTTTTAAATGTTTTAATAATTATAAACTGCCCAGCGTCTCTGGGAGTCAGGTGGCATATAAATTTAATAAAATTATTACTATTATTGCTTTTCCTCACACCTTTTCTTTTTTTCTCCTTGTAGCCCAAATTCATTCCAGAGTTTATCAAGTGAGTAGCATTTCTAATATTTAAAGTCAGGCCTTACAGTTTATTACCCCTTTGTGGTGTCTGTATTTTTGATAGGGATAGACAATAAAATTGAACCTCAGAGAAAACATACATTATACTGTTACAAAACTGCTCTATAGAGGATAATGCAGATGTGTTGTGCAGCTTTTCACATCATACCATTTATTACTTTTCATTCAGAGATTTTGGCTGAAACCATCTCATGGGAGGGTTTTGGGAATAAGTCATTTACTTCAAAGTTTTATACAAGATTCACAACCTTTTTGGACTGGTTGGCATACTAGGGATTTTGAAAATAAGTTGTTTCCTCTTTTTCTTGTTTGTGCTATAGTTGAATATGTCCATGTCACTTTAACGTGTTATAATTGATGAGATTCTTGTAATCTGTCTCACATGTAATCTACATCTCCATAGCCGCCTGTTCTCCCTTCACTTGCTGCATCCCCTTTTCAAATCCTACATCAATTTAACCATTCCATAAGTCTAATGAAGTGAACTACAGCTCACAAAAACTTATGCCTTTCAATAAAATTTGTTTGTCAGAAAAGGTGCTACTAGACTCCTTTTGATTTTTGGCTACCACAGGCTACCACAACTCTCCTACTATGTCTGTACTAGCATATATATGTATGTATGTATATCATAAACTTCAGAATCATTACTAATACTTGTGTACCTAAATTCTGGTGAAACAGTCAAAGGAAAAAGGTGTGAGTGTGTAGCATCTCAGTCTAAACACTGGTCTCTTAATTACGGAGTATGTAGTGGCATGCCATACCTGGCCTATTGTGATAAATAGGTTGCAATAAAAATAACATGATTTACAAATGTAATTCAGCAATGTTCTTATAATTGCTTGTAGATTTCTGCATATTTCTATTCTTTGTGCTCATTTAAATTGCATAGCTGAAATATCTGTATTGCCAATAGTATGTTAGAGTTTTATTCTCTAGGTCTAACCATATTTTGAAGATGAAAAAGTATGATTTTTTAGTATGCTTGATTGTTATATTACATGTTAACAATTTTAGTATTATTAGTATATTCATCTGTTTCTGGGTTAGTACTATACTAAGTATGTGAGTTTGTAACTCAAATTTTTTTTTTCCTCTACCCAATGTTTATTTCTGTAGAACACAGAAAGAAGGAAGTTTTGATATTGTGTCTGGAACTCGATATAAAGGAAATGGAGGTGTGCATGGATGGGATCTAAAACGAAAATTGATCAGGTCAGTATTTCATCCATAGCCCTGTACCATCAACAGGTCTTCAAAAGGCACCTCATGAAACTGTCCTTTTTCCTTCTCTGAATCATTTCTGAGAGGGTTGCCAGATTCAGATCTTAAGAAGGTTTCTTTAATTTTGAGAACCTTGAAGGAAAAATTCTTATTCTCTCTTTATTGCAACCTGATTCTTGATTCTTTTATTAAAGTTTTTTTTAACTTCTAAAAATAATATTCTTACCTTTGTAGATCCTTTTTTCTTTTAATTCATTAATTAATTTAATTTTAATTTAATTTTCTCTGGCAGTCTGTGGATAGGGAATTGATTATCTCTCTATAATTAACTTGGGGAATCATTTACCATAAGATATAGTGATAGCCTAACTTGGTCTATCAAGGACAATTAATCTTGAAGGCTCAAATCAATATTATCTCCAGATTGGAAACAGCATACCTCAAAATACTAATATAACTTTTTGATCTGTTTTGTCATCTTTGACACCCAGTGCTTACTTACACCTACTGTTGAACTTGGTTAATATATAGTGCCTCCTATACTAGCTAACCTTAGTACAGTGGAATCTTGGGTTACGAACGCTTCTGTTAAAGAACTTTTCGGGTTACGACCAGCTCCGGCCACAAAATTTTGCTTCGGTTTGCGAACTCCGCCTTGGGGTACGAACAGGATACGTGGCCATTTTCCCTCCCGTGATACAGTCCGCGGCCATTTTCCGCCCCTGACACGTGGTCCGCGGCCATTTTTCTGCCCCTGACACGTGGTCCGTGGCCATTTTCCGCCCTGACACCTGGTCCACGGCCATTTTTCTGCCCCTGACACGTGGTCCGCGGCCATTTTTCTGCCCCTGACACGTGGTCCGTGGC